GCCTGGGTTTCCAGGTGGATAGCCCGGCACCCCATAACCCCTGGGCCCTGGTGGCCTTGTCACAGCTATGGATGGGGGAGGAAGGTTTCCTCCTCTGCTCTGCGGGGGATAGTGGCCATTTGGGGCAGGGCCTGGATGCTGGAGTGCCTGAGAGGAGCTGACGTCTTGTGGCTGGCCTGACTTCTTTGCTTCATTTCCATCCTGTCCTTTCTTGCTGTCTGAAATGTGTTTGGAGAACAGAATTAAAAAAATGAACATGCAAACCCGAAATTCCCTGAGAGGGCAATCCTGCAACCACCTGTCCACTCCAGAAGAGGGGTGGGAAGTTTGGGGCCTCCTCTGCCAACAGCATGAAATCTGGGGTAATCATAGTCTTTTGCACTTTGCACTTTCCCTCCAGACCTTTCTGCAAGGCCCTAATGGAGGAAAGTGGAGGCTTTTTCCAAGTAGCTGGATGCACTTATATATCATCTATAAATGACAATGAAGGTAGCAGTTTCAAAGTTAAGTGGGCAGGATTTGAAGCTGCAGACATGCCTTGCACTTTGGTTCTTTGAAAGACAAACATTTCTAATCTCGGTTTCTCTGCTAGGCTTAAACTTACACTGGCTGTATAGCATGCATGCGTGATGGAGAAAGTCCAGCAGTGTTCAGGAGAAAGGAAACAGCTTGCGAAATCCTTCAGGACAGACTGAAACCTTCCTGACCAGGCTAGGCTTTCCGTTAAGGATTGTACTACCGTAGTGTGTTCTCATTGTACCTTCTCCCGGTGAACCTGGCACGGAGCACAAACGCTGTCCTGAGCAGTCCTGAATCAGTGAAATGCAATAGGAGGGTGCAAGATTTGGACCCAACTGGTTTGTGATAGGTAAGAGGGATCACTAACATTTAGACCAGGCTTTAAGTGTTCTTTTCTGCAGGGCTGGGATCATGTGATTCATTATCGCTCTATTACAGGCTTTTTTACTTTTGTGTTGCCAGGGGTGAAATAACGTTACAGTATTTCTTAAATAAGCCAAAGAAAGAAAAATGGATTGGAGATTAGGCTAATACTTGTGATTCAGTATTGCTAATATCTTTCAGGACATTATGGCAATGGAAACTGTCATGGTAGTGAGGAAGACTATGATCTGGCATACATAAATTCCTCATCTTGAGGACTTCAGAAGTCTTTACCTTGATTTGGAGTGGATTCATCTTGCTTGCCACCTTTTTGCTTTGGCTGTGGTAGTTCTGTCTCAAATGGATTTTCCTCTTGTTCATTTGATTTTTGTGCCTTTTGTTTATTTCTTCTTTTGTTTTCTTCTGCTTGCTAATGATGGGGAGAGAGAGAGAGAGAGCATCTTTCAGTGAGCTGCATGGCTTCTTTAATATTTAGTAAAACCAAAAATCAATAATTCTCTATTCCTTACACTTTGTAGCTTCTTTTTAAGTTCCAAGTTAGCTTCCTTGTAGGATTTGGATGTTGCGTTGAGATAATAAATACTCAGGCTAGATTTAAAGAAAAATAATATTTCCTGTTAGGTAATGATTTAAATGGAAAGATTCTTATAAAATTCCTATAGCAACAACTAGAGTTGTGCTAATATAAAATCTGTATCTTTTCCTCATTTATTGTGCCTAATCAGTAGTAGTATTTTGACAACGAACAATGTGCTTTCTTACAGTATGAAGTAGATCCTGTTATTTCAAGGGAAAAAAGAGTTGAAAGAAATTATTCTGTTTATTAATACTCCACATTGAATGTTATAATAGTTAAAGAAAATGTTCCATGAAGCTATGCCTCTCTATGAAGTGTTTTCTAAAGAATAATTTAACAAGTTAATTAACTTGTATGACTTACTTACCTTAAAAATGAGTAAATCATACTTATAAAAGCTTTTGAACTAATATAGTAAGCAAACTCAAGTATTGCAAAAAAAAAAAAAAGAAAAACCCAGCCAAAAGCAGAGGGTTCCATTTTTGTTTTAAATTATGACCTCCTTCTTCTACTAAACAAAACCTTAACTGTATAAGGCAATTTTCATTTTTCAGTGTATTGTATTACTTTTGTAATAACTCTATGACATTACTATTTTTCACCATCTCAATTTAATTAGAGAAATTATGATATGAAGTCTTTTATTGATCTAAGCAGTAAATAATTCATCTGCATATGCTGTTTTCTCTTTGTCTGATTTTCCCTTGTATTTTCCTTCCTTTTCTCTTTTCTTTTCTTTTCTTTTCTTTTCTTTTCTTTTCTTTTCTTTTCTTTTCTTTTCTTTTCTTTTCTTTTCTTTTCTTTTCTTTTCTTTTCTTTTCTTTTCTTTTCTTATTTTGTTTCTTCTTTTCTTTTCTTTTCTTTTCTTTTCTTTTCTTTTCTTTTCTTTTCTTTTCTTTTCTTTTCTTTTCTTTTCTTTTCTTTTCTTTTCTTTTCTTTTCTTTTCTTTTCTTTTCTTTTCTTTTCTTTTCTTTTCTTTTCTTTATTTCATTTTGTTTCTTTTCGTTTCTTTATTTTTAATATCTTTTCCTTGGATCATTCCAAGAAAGGAATAGCACTCAAAAAAAAAAAAAAAAAAAAAAAAAATCAGTAGGAGCTGACCATGTATTTCAGAGGGCAGTCTAGATTCTTTATTTTTCTAGCCAAGGGTTAAAATAGAATATTATTTAAGTGAACCTTGGCAAAATTTCATCTCAGATTTTCATTTTGCTCATGTAAAATCCTTCTGCAACTTCTATTGTATTCTGTAATCTTCTCTACATTTGTTGGCAGTTCTACAATACAGGGTTAAATCCCAGCTTATGAGTTAACTCATAAGTTGACTTTCAGTTCAGCAGTATGCTAAATAATCCAATATATGTATACAGCAGTTTAAAATGCCTTTATAAAGCAGGACTCAGTACAGTCTTGGAGAAAGAATATTCTTTCATTATTCTTTACTAGGTACTGATTTACAAAAAATCTCTACAAGCCATGTTTCATAAAATCTCAAACACCTTGTCTCACAGTCCTGTCCCAACAGCATAGAGCATATTTTTTTGTCAAGGAAAGGCCAGGGCACTGAACATCAGACTCACTGAAAGTTACTGGGAAATAACTCTGCTTCATGGTGGTCATGTTTCTATTGAACTTGCTAAGCATTTATGATGTGCTGTTCTGCCTGCTGGACAAGCTGATCAAAGTCACAGCACTTCAGATTCCTTATAGGCTTTTGCATTTTAATAGCTTTGTCTTTATCATTATCATGGCAACAACAACATTTTTGAAAAGCAGTAACAAAAACAAAAAAGAAAACCATTGAACAAAAAGGAGATATTACCCTTTGTGCAAAAGCACATTAATTATGATCAAATAAAAGGCTCATGAATTCTTCAGGTCCCTCACCACAGGGCAATCAGCACCATATTTAATTGATAATCAGGCAGTGAAGATTCCAAGTGAAAGAAACTTAACAGAAATTAGATTAATCAAGCTTTGAGTTAATATTCTGTACATACACCATCAGCAATATAAAAGGTAGGATGAGTCCAGGATTAGAGGCATAACCAAATACCTTCCCAAACCAGGAAGGGAAGTCATGCTCCAGAGTTTCTGATATGACTTCAAACATTCTAGTCTTCCCACTATTAAACAGAAAAGTTGACAATATATCACATACAAATATTATGGCAATGTCAATGCAGTAGTATGAATATATAGGTTAATCACATCACATCAAACCTGGGAAAAGGACAATAAACTATATATTAATACTATTTAAAACTTGACACTCTGAAAGGAATATTATTTAAAATAGTATTTATGTATTTTAAAGAGAAAATAAACACCAATACTTTTATTGTATGCTAGTAGATTTTGCCTGTAGGTACCACTAAGATTACTCCTCAAAGAATCATTGTACCAAGTTGTGAACTCCATACCATTAACCAAAGAGTGAAGTGCAATTTGTGCTCTATGAAGTCCTGGTGAAAAATTCAAATCCAATCTTTGTAGGTTTGATAATCAAAAAATGGTCTACTTGCAATTGATTTCTGTTCAGCACCATTCAGCTTAATTCTCTCTTTGCTGTGTACAAATGCTATAGAAACCAGTGCAGCGGTTTAGATTTTTCTTATTGTTACAGCAATCTAATAACTTTCATGCGCACTGGTTCCATGGCCAGCTTGTGTAGAAAGTATTTTCTCCCTAGACCATTAACATTATTCTTTGTCTTGCAGAAGCATTTTGATAGATGTTCCAAAAGTTCCTTCCTGCTTATTTTGCTTTTGGCTGTGCCTTACAATATAGGCATGGGTTTTTTGACCTTTTTTTACCTGAACAAAACTAGCAAAATGGGTCTTTATGTGTATTGAGACTAATTGGTAGTTTTAGTTGGGTAAAGGAATTGTCACCAAATTGCCACCTGATATTCCAGTCATTGAGGTCTCTTGTCACCCCTTTTCAGTTCTTGTAAAGCTTTTCTGAACAACCAAGTATTTTTCTTAACTCATTTTTCTCAATCCTTGTTCTCTTCCTGGTAACGTAAAAAGGTTGCAGGTAGAATTCTTCAGACCAGTTCTTTCTCTCCACTTCCCTCACCCACCCATGGCAGGCTAGTTGGAAAAGACCTTTAAGAACATCAAGTCCAACTGTAAACTAACACTGCGAAGTCCACCACTAAACCATGTCCCTAAGCACCACATCTATATGTCTTTTAAATACTCCGAGGGATGGTGACTCAACCACTTCCCTGGACAGCCTCTTCCAATGCTTGATAACCCTTTCAGTCAAGAAATTTTTCCTAATATCCAACCTAAACCTCCCCTGGCACAACTTGAGGCCATTTTCTCTTGTCACATCACTTGCTACTTGGGAGAAGTGACCAGCACCCACTTCGCTACAACCTCCTTTCAGGTAGTTGTAGAGAGTGAGAAGGTCTCCCCTCAGCCTCTTTTTCTCCAGGCTAAACAACCCCAGTTCCCTCAGCTGCTCCTCATAGGACTTGTGCTCTAGATCCTTCACCAGATTTAATATCCAATTCAATAACTGCAGCTACTCAGATCTGACTGCAGATGTCTCCCTCTGCCCTTTCTTTGCTATGATAAATAAAAAATCTTACTTTGTATCACTTGCTTTGCTACCATTGCTTCCATAAATTCAAGCAATTTTCTATCTCATCAGAATTTTTGGCATTTCATGCAATTGACGCTCTTAGGTGACTGTGACTATTGCAGATTAACAATCTCCAAAATATTTTGCCTTTGGCCAAAGTTAATGTGGCATGAGTTCTGCTCCTTTACAAGTGCACTGGGGATTATACAGATACCATTTTACTCACCACAGAAATGCATTATTCAAATATTTAATTTTAATATTTCTTTTACTATTCTCCTACTCTTGCTTTGCTAATACTTTGTTCAAAACCAAAGACTAAATTCTTTTTAAAAATTTTATTTCATATATTGACTGTCGCTGTGTACTCATTATAGTTATATGTCATGCTACCTGGCAAGTAAAGATGATGAAAACGGTCCTGGACTTCCAGACAGTGTTCACAGACGGAGAACCTGTGGCAACATCTAAGCTAGCTTAAATGCAAGGCACATGTTTGCACCAACAAGGCAGGCCTAAGTTTTTAGAAGGGGCTAATGAACATGGAGATCTTGAAGACTTCAGGAACAGGTTCAGCTTCAGAGTGGTAATACAGATGCATGAAATGCTGTGTGAGTTGGAGAGAGTCACAGCAGTCAAAGACTGTACCACCATATATTTAGCACACCCCCATACATTCTGATATGACCCTCCTACAGGGCATATGTAGACATTTCCTCAAAGACATCACTCTCAGGTCAGCAGATAGATCACTGCTCTATTCCTTAAGAATAATTTCTGGCTTAATTACAGCAGTAATGACAATTTTTTACATTACAACTAAAAGAAAATATTTTCTGGTTTACACTTCAGATAAAACTTTCTAAATAATAACTCAGTTTTCTAGGATTGCTAGCTTCAGAAATTACCCACAATGAGAAATGCAGCACAAATATGAACTCAGCCTATCAGGTGCTAACACTTATTATAGAAGCTCTTTTCATTACTGGATCATTCACTGTGATGAGATGAGACAGTTCATCACATTGGTAACAGAAGATGGATGTAAAATGCAAAAAACCTGAAAGGACCACAGTCAAAAGATGGTGGGATGGAGACAATGGTGTACACAGCAGGCAGCGTGGAGAGAAAGAGGATGAAGAGCAGCATGGCCATGTAGAAGTTATTGGATCTGGAAGCCTTGAAGACCCTCTCTTGGGGGACGTTGCAGCACATCACTGCCCAGCACTGCAGGTACATGGAAGTGTGGAGGCGGAACACGTTGATCGCTGGGAGACATGGAGCATAAAAAGATCCCATCCTAGAAAAGAAGGAAAGGAAAGAGTAGCCACTTTGTTGTAGGACTTCTGTCTTCCTAGATATGCCACCCATTCCCTATGTCAATGAGCTTTGCAGCCGTACACACTCCGGACTCAGAAATCAAGTTAATAAAACCATCTTTATATGTTTTTTACTGTTTTTGTATCTTCAATTTTCCTTCAAGAAGAACTGGAGGTGTGCGGATAGAATTCTCCACATGAGCGCTTTGTTTCAAAGTTACAAAGCCCTCCTTCTCTGCAAATTAAATTAAATGTTATCCATTCTTACTTTGTCCCTTTAGTTCAGGTGACATGTCACTTGTGTTGTATAATAAAGGATAGCCCTAAAGCTAAGTATTACCAAAATAATCTAGTTTATTCTTTATTATTTTCCTTAATATACTAACACCATTTTATGAAGGATATTTTTGCTTAGTCGACATTTATTTTACTTCCGTTACCATGGTTATTTAGTGCTTCATTCCAACAAACTGTTTATTGATTCAGCTAAATATTGGGGTTTTTCCTTATTATGTATGGTTGCATGGTTATGACAGTGAAACATTTGGAATCATTTTATTTTTATCACACCTTGTTTCTTATGCCATGCCGATTGAAGAGCAATTACTTTCATTTGCCTGGCTAAATGATACAGAATGTAAGAGATAAGGAAGCTGCTTTTTCCTTAATCATTGTCCAGGTGACCAGGACTGAGCTGCTTTGCCTCTAAGTGCCTCAGTTTTTCTATTTAAAAAAATAGGAAATAGATCTACATGGTTGGAAAGACATTTCTAGTACAGATATATTATGACAGACTCTGTTATATTAAGATCTCTCTAACCTCTTTTCTTATATCTTCAATGAAAAGATAAAGGGTTTGCTAGTCTATGGATGAAGGGAGAGAGCACCTCATGGCTCTATTCCTTACCCTCACCTAAATCAGTTGCAAAATGCTCCTCAACAAGTTCAGAATCTGGGTACCTTATGTCCATTATCATAATATTCCAGTATAACATTTATTATATGGTAGACAAATTCTTGCCAAAGCTTATTAATACAGAGAAGACTTGCAAATGATTTGCATCCCACTTCCTTTGTGAAAACACAAAGAGTTTTCCTAATCGCATGGTCTCTCGTACACAAAAATAAATGCACACATACAAACCTCTTGTACCCTTTCTAGCTCCGTGATAGTTCCAGCTCACCAGTTGCACCTGAAACTCTTTTTTATTCTGTTTCAGATTAGCACAAGCATGTGCAATAGAATTTGTAAAGCTCAGATAGAACAGAAACCAATTCACCCTATGTGTGTATTAATGATAAACATGGTTTTGGCAGTGTATGTTTATTATAAACGTCAACCTTTTTTAACTCTTCTGATGTATTTGATTCAGTTTAAATCGTCAGATATTATTTTGAAAAACACTACAGCTCTAGTGCCTTACTTGGCCCTGCAAATAACAATTAGCATGAAAATGTGGTTCCAACCCTCCAATAAGCAGTAAGCAGAAGGCTGCTGTATCTAAATAACATCACAAAATCACAAGTCACAGTTTCTGTGCCAGAATGTGTACATTGGGGCATGGCAGCTTACAAGAGCACAGTCTGTACATGTAATGAACTATAAAAATGATAGGTATCTTTAGAAGTTTTGTTAGAGAATAATCAGGAATCGGCTCCCTCACCCAGTCCTCAACGTCTCTCAGGTAGAGAATGATTTCCAATCTATCTTCCAAAGTGTTAATTACAGCAGTAGAAAGTATTAGTGCCATCAATTGCATATAAACTTGCAAGCGGAGTTTATGCTGCAGCTTCATCACTTTGATGAAAAGCAGTCTGAGAAATGTTTCCTATTAGAGAGTAGAATGAAAGTCCTAAGGCAGATAGCAACATACCAATTGCAAACATAAGCTGCTTTTCTAAGATGCAGGACACAATATAGGTACCTCACATGCCAGCAGCAAGGCTGGACTCCCTCCAGCCATATTCTTATGGCATCCCATCACTACGAGGTCACAGAGGGTGCTGTGCTCCTCCCCAGCAATATATCCTCCTTCTGAGCAAGCCCATGGCTCTTCTGTCAGGGACCTCAGTGCATCCCTCCAACAGGATTTGGTTGCTGGGGCTACAAAATATTTACAGCCTCTTCCTTTGCTGTATTTCTGCGGCATTTCTTTGACATACACACAACACACAACCTTTGGGCTTTACAGAAATGAGGGCTGTCACCAAGTAAATGTCTGATCAGCAAAGTCATATTAAAGGTAAAAAACCTAGCCCTTAACAATAATTAACTCTGAGAAGTCAACAGTGCTTGAGGAGGACATTCCTGAGGAAGACCGATCATCTTGCATGAGGACTCTACACAATCGTATTCTTTACCACCCATGTAAAGTTCAAAAATGGGATGGAACACAGACCTCTTCTTGAGAGCTAAGGACTAGTACTGCAGCAATAGCATTTTATGCACGTTCATATGCCTTGACAGATAAGTGTACATACATTTGTTTTAAGGCCTTTTTTCACAGGACACAAGGGGAAAGAATGGTAAGGTATTCTGAAAGGCTGAAATTAAAAAAAAAAAAAAACAAAAAAACCAAAAAAAACCCAGTGCAGGCCAGGTGCTTGCTCTAGCAAGGAGTCCACAAAAAGTTAAGATTGCAGTACGCAGCTTTTTACTGGTTGGTCTTACCAGCTTGTTGCACAATCCTGATGCATCTGGTCCCATAATCTTAATCCAGAACTAGTTTTGAAGTGGTCGCACTGATGGCAGTGTACCAGAGTTTGATATATATTGCATTACACTTCCATCAAACTAGAGCAGTGGAACAGAATCAGCATTTCAGAAGAATCTTTCACACATACAGCTAAATCCTGCAGTCCTGCAGATGCAACATGCTTTGCCACACCTACCAGATCATGCCTTGGTTAAATATCAGTCCCAGCACATTTCCACTTATATCGAACTCAGAATATGATGGCTGAAAGAAATAATACAGATGCTTTCATTAGACTTGCACAAAGGGTTTTAAGATGACTTACGGTAGATAAAAACTGTCACTTCCAAGAGCAGCAGCACATTGGCATTATGTTGTAAGGTCTCTTGTTGCATCCTATCAGTGAATCATGGAACAAATTAATATGACTCAAGGTCAACAGGTAGATTTTAATACAGCTTGCAGTATTTTACTGAAAATCTTTTTGAGATTTGTTGAGATAATGGAGAATTAACAATAGTTGTGTACTGGGTAAATTTTAAAACAATTCATAAATTTTCCATTGGAGTGGCTAGCAGTGGTCATCTAATATGACCTCTGATACAGTACCAGCCATGAGGCTGCTGTGATTTAATCCCTGTCTGAACTATATTTTTTCATATGTTAACAGTTACACTGTTGAATAATGCTTTTTAAACATTGATAGATGTTTCCTATGATTGTCTTTCTTGATGATGTGTGGGGTTTGCATGCAAGGTGTTGGTAGTGGAGGGAATAGAGGGGTGGCATCTGCAAGAAGCTGCTAGAAGCTTTCCCCATGTCAGATAGAGTCAATATGTCAGCCGGCGCCAAGACGGCCCTGCTGCTGGCCAAGGCCAAGCTGATCAGCAATGGCAGTAGTACCTCAAGGACAATGTATTTAAGAAGGGGGGGGGAAACGCATCAGCATTTGCAGCCAGAGAGAGGAATGAGAATATGTGAGAGGAACAACTCTGCAGACACCAAGGTCAGTGCAGAAGGAAGGGGTGGAGGTGTTCCAAGCACCAGAGCCGAGATTCCCCTGCAGCCCATGGAGAAGACCATGGTGAGGCAGGCTGTCCCCCTGCAGCCCATGGAGTTCCACAGTGGAGCAGAATCCATCTGCAGACCATGGAGGACCCCATGTTGGAGCAAGCGGACGCACCTGAAGGAGGCTGCGAGTTCGTGGAAGCCCACACTGGAGGAGGCTCCTGGCAGGACCTGTGGCCCCTTGGAGAGAGGAGCCCACGCCAGAGCAGGTTTGCTGGCAGGACTTGTGCTCCTGTGGGGGGCACATGCTGGAGCAGTGCTCCTGAAGGTCTGCACCCCTGGAAAGGACCCATGCTGGAGCAGTTGGTGAAGAACTGCAGCCCATGGGAAGGACCCATGTTGGAGAAGTTCATGCAGGACTGTCTCCCATGGGAGGGACCCCACGCTAGAGCAGGGGAAGAGTGTGAGAAGTCCTCCCCTGAGGACGAAGGAGCGGCAGAGACAACGCATGATGAACTGACCACAACCCCTATTCCCCATCCCTCTGTGCCTCTGCGGGGAGGAAGTAGAGAAAATAAGGAGTGAAGTTGAGCCTGGTAAGAAGGGAGAGTGGGAGGAGGTGTTTTAAGATTTATTTCTCATTACCCCACTCTGAATGACTTGTAATAAATTAAATTAGTTTTTCCCCAAGCCAAGTCTCTTTAACCCATGACGGTAATTGGTGAGTGATCTCTCTCTGTCCTTATCTCAACCCACGAGTCTTTCACTATATTTTCTCTCGCCTGTCCAGCCAAGGAGGGGAGTGATAGAGAGGCTTTTGTGGGCACCTGGCCTCCAGCCAGGATCAACCCACCACATACAAATATCTTATTTCCAGTTTGAGTGTGTTTGATTCTAATTTTTATGTCAAGATTCAGCCATGGTCTCACTCTCATTATCGTTTTGTCTGCTGAAGAACGCACTGTATCATAATTTTTTTTTTCCAGTATAGACACATAAATACTGTAAACTAATAATTCCTTAGTCTTATATTTCTGAACTATTGATCTGACGCTTTCATTCTGTTTTTCCAAGTCTTTAATCATTTTCACATCTCTTCTTTTACCCTATTTATTAGTCTCTAATTCATGAACACTTCCATCTGCAAACATTGAATACACTGCCTTTGAGCAACATTTGAAATACACACATACCTATTAGTTTGTGTGCATATGCACCAGAACAAAACTTTGTGGTAAGAAATTGGAGCTGTAAACATTTGGTTTACACCTAAATGTCTGATTGAAGCATATTATTCATATGGGTTTGCATTTTCACATTTTGTTTAATCAGCTTTCTCATAAAAGAGTTCTGCTTCACCATAGCTGGTGACTTGCATGATTCACCATAGTGGGTGGACTAAAAGATCATGAATAGTGTGTACTTTCCAGGTATTAATTACACAGATGACTTCTAGAGGGAGTAAGGGGCATGAGATACAAAAATAACTATTCCCTTATGGCTGAACCAAGGCTTTTTCATTGATCTTGGCTCTTTTCAGGCTCTTTCATTGGTCGTGGATATCCTGATAGGGAAAAGGTCCAGACTATCACTTCAGTATCTTTGGAAAATAGGATGTCTGAGCTATTTCCTGTCAGTTGTAGTGCTGGCTACAATGATTCATGTGTTCCCCACATCCAGCCTTAGCTATTGTGATGGCTGTGGAACATCTGAAAATGTAAGGAAGTTCCAGATGCAATTTAAGTATATGAAAATACATGTTCCCGAAGCAATTCTGGCTCTCTGCATATGCTGTATTCACATTCCTGCATTTGATATTGATATTGCAAGGGTTATAACTTGTTTGTCCACAACCTGGCAGGCTGGTAGGCTTTGTCTCCAACCCTACACCAGTCCTGTTTGAGATACACCATAGAATTAACAGGAAGAAACCTGGCCCTTGCTGTAAAGGCTGAAATTTCATGGGAGCCAGCCAGTAACAGAGATACCAGAAAACTGTTTTTTCTATAGAAAACACCAAAACTTTCTCTTCGTCTAGAAAATTACATTTCCCAGGAGGCTGCTTTTAGTAAAACAAGAAATTTGTGCATGTATGAAGGTAAAATTTTGAGGAAAGGAGGACCAAAGAATGGCAGAAGAGCTGCAATGGCTGTTTACACAGATGTACCCAAGATAGCTTTAAATGACTTAGTTCTTTTACATACCTCTCAGTATACCTCCTCAAAGGAGGCTTCAGGAGCTTCACAAGCTTCACAAGCTTTTCCAGTACCCTGACTACTGCTTAACAGGTGAAAAAGCATCATCAGACCATAAACTGTAGGTATCTTAGCTGGCTAATTTAACCTAGCTCAGATCTGTGTAAAAGAGTGAAAGTCTCAACTCCTGGGGGGGAAGAGCTCTGTTATGGGATTTAGTAACTTTATTTAATCTAAACTAATGCTAGCAAAAAAATATATATAAGAAGATTTCTAGAACAACTTATTTCCTATTTTGCTCCACAAACACTGGATGCCTTGGTATGCTAGAAGACTCTATCTGAAATCCGATAAAAATCAATGAGATTGTATTCCATGAAACAGGGAATGAGTCTTCAAATTGGAAATGTGTTAAAAATGTCTACCTAGTTTTCTTACATCATCAAATAAAGAAAAAAAATAATCCTAAAGTTACCAATCTAAAGAATAAGGCAAATATTAAGACATAAACAAATTTTGAGAAAAACTAACACAATGTTGTCCAGGGATTTTGAAGGTGATGAGTCTAGCCAACAGTTAACTCTGTAGGATTGAAAGGAAAATGTAATTTACTACAAAAATGTGAAGTGATAATCTGACAAAAAGACGTTTAAAATAGCAAACCAGATACTTACAAATCCATATTCCAAGTCCCAGCACCAGCAGTAATTGAAAAACCTAACAAAGACAGCTCTCAAGAAATCGCCAATTAAAATTGTGATGTATGTTGTCATCGTGTCAGAGACTGTCAGCCGCACAAATTCCTGTTAGAGCAATATTTTCTTTTAAGAATATATTTAAGCAATTAATGATTACAATAATAATGAAACACTGGACTACATCCCTAACTGTGCTTACTCTTCAACATGGAAAAGACTCTGTTCCTCCTCTACATTCACCAATTCTGAAAAATGCCAGGAGAAAAACCGCCCCTCGTTTGCTAGAGGTATCCTTTGCTCTAATTTGAGCTCATATTATCAGATAAGACTTCCAGGGTATGATTAGACTGTGAAAGGCTTCCAGCCAAGATTGCTGCTATAACAGAAATCTGAGCTGATATTTTAAACTGCTTGAGATCCCTTTGACTTTGGGAAGATTAAACAAAACCAAAACCAAAAGTGAATGGCTTGTTTCTCAAGGATCACCAACTCCCAGTGAACACGGAAAAGAAAGAAGAAAATCCTAATGGAAATTCTCTTTCCTCTACTTTTATTTAGTAAATCCCACTAAACCCTACCATAACAGGCCTTACCCCAATAGCCAAAAAGACTATTGCTCTCCTTGATCTGAAATTAAGGAGAAAATTAATGCAGTGATGAGCTCTTGGTGTTCTTAGCTTATTATTCATCATCAGTGAAAAGAATAGAGGGGCTGTTTTTCCTGCCTGTCTGCTCCCTGCTGGTGACTTAGTCAGGAGAGGAGATAACCAGATGGTGAGATTGTCCGAGTGATGGAGCAACATCAAAACTTGTGATTCAGTGGTGAATTCTTTCTCATGCACAAAACAACAATGGGATACGATCATATAGAGGAAAGGGGGATGTTAGAAAATTCTTTGGAAATGACATTTTATATTAATAGGTCAGTATGAATAAATGTTCAACTAAATCAAATAAAATGACTGAGCAGATTTACCATTAAACCACTATAGCACTTTTGCATTATGTTACTTGGCTAAAGACAGAGATGTCTTACACTGCTGTAAGAGCTATCTTACATGTAGTTACTTGTGGAGCTACTCCTTTTTTTATATTTTCTATAGGTCTGTTGTAGTCAGAAACAGATTTTGCCTGATCAAAATTCTAATCAGAATTACCAGAGTTATTAGGGGTTGTGATGAATCCAACTTTTCAAAATTGTTAAACAGGTTTTGTAAAACAAAGATGGGATGAGGAAGCGGAAGGTAAATGAAGACAATAGTGAAAAGGAAGGGAAGAAAATAAATGCTTTCAATGTTGTCAACTACCAAAAGAAAGAATTCCCTACTAGACAGGGTCTAAAGAAACGCAAATAATTTTTTTCTCAACTTTTTAGTTCAGGAAACAGTCCCACATTTGCTTTTCCTCACATTTTCCCACTTTAATGCTATTTATTAGCAGAAATAAAGAGGGTTTAGATACGATATCATGTAACAGATAATGACCTATTTTCAAATATGAGCTGAAAGCAGTTACATTACCTGTCCTACCATTGTTTCCCAGCATGGTCCTCTGGGAACATCTGCAGGGTCCACCTGTATTGGAGGAGCAGTTGAATTTTCCGGAATAGTACCATTGTACAGACTGGCTTCCCATATTGTCATGTTATACTTGACTATCTTTTCTTCTTCCAACTAAGTAAAGAAATAAATTGGGAAAAATAACCAACATGAGCCTGTTGCCAATTCTCAACCTTTTCTACTCCAAGACTCCCATTACCAGCTCAGGCATGGATGTGATTTACAGTATAGAAAGAAAAGAATGTCTTTCACTGACACATCTGTGACTGGCTGGAAATCCTCATCCTTGCCCAGCTACATGTTAAAAATAAGGAAGAGAAGTAAATATCTTGCCTTGAGATTGATTTCATCCATTAGGGCAATAATGAAAGTGTATAGATTGCCCAGAAAAAGAGCAAAGATTCGTCCCAGCTGCCATCTTAGAGCTATTCGAGGGTGGTAGTTTTCCAGAGAACTAATTACATCAAATAAAGTTGGACAGAACATTCCTAAAAGTGACATAACCATGTTTACCTGAGAAGGGGAAAAAGAAAAAAAAAAAAAAAAAAAAAAAAAGGGGGTTTACAGTGAAATGTTAAAGGCAAGTTCTTACATTATTATTGTTTAGGTATTTCCATTACTGATTTTTATTTGTTTTTTGATTTAATGAAAAACAAAATCCACTCTAGGAGTCACAAGATGTTTTCAAAAAAGGAAGAAAGGGATGAAAAGTCAGTTGTAATCTACTGCCAATGGATATATGAAATCTTTCTTTCATTTTGCATTTCACTTAAACCTCTGAAATAATCAAATGTTAGTTATTCTGACTAGAACTTACATTTTAACCTTTACTATCAGAGAACTTAGCAAAACATATTCCTAGTACCGTTTTATGCTACGTCTCTATCACATCTTCCAAATAGACACATAGATGTTGTATAAAAAACATTCTTACAAAAATGCTGCACTAAATTAAATTTATGCAAGATCTCACCCAAACTTAATTCTAGATGTCACAGAATCATGGAATCATAGAATCATTGAATATATAAAGTTGGAAGGAATCCATAAGGATCATCGAGTTCAACTTTCTGCTCCTAACAGTACTACCTAAAACTAAACCATATGACTAAAAGCCTCATCCAGATACTCCTTGAACTCTGACAGGCTTGGTGCTGTGACCACTTCTTCGGGGATCCTGTTCCAGTGACCAACCACCCTCTCAGTAAAGAACCTTTTCCTAATGTCCAGTCTGAACTTCCCCTGGTACAGCTTCATTCCATTTCATTGTGTCCTATCGCTGGTCACCAGAGAGATCAGCAGCTCCCCCTCTGCTGCCCCCCTTGGGGAAACTGTCAACTGCAATGAGGTCACCCCTCAGCCTTCTCTTCTCCAAGCTGAACAAACCAAATGACTTCAGCCATTCCTCATAAGTCTTGCCCTTGAGGCCTTTCACAATCTTGGTCAACCTCCTCTGGACACGCTCTAACAGTTTGATGTCCTTCTTATACTGAGGCACCCAGAACTGTGCACAGTGTTCAAGGTGAGGCCACACCAGCGCAGTGTAGAGTGGGACAATCACCTCCCTCGCATGGCTGGCGATGCTGGGCTTGATGCACCCCAGGACACGGTTGGCCTTTTTGGCTGCCAGGGCGCACTGTTGACTCATATTCAACTTGCTACCAACCCAAACCCCCAGATCTCTTTCTCCAGCCTCTCACCTCTCAATTTGTATCTATAATCAGGATTGCCCTGTCCCAGGTGCAGAATTTGGCACTTGTTTTTTTCCAATTTCATATGGTTGATGATTGCCCAGCTCTCTACACTGTCTCAGATCTCATGTCCTTACTGCATAAGCAAGTTCAAATCAACCCTACTTCTTTCTGCCAGATTTTCTTAGAAAACTTTAATAAGATTAACTCATCATCTTAGCAGTATGGAAATGGAACAAGTTTACTGAAAGAAAATTGAGAAAAAACAGTTAACTAGCTTTTATAGAAAGTTTGAAATACAACATGACTTACAAATTCTATGGACAAGTGTGGCATTCTAGGAAAGTAACATTCCTAAATGATTGCTGATAATTATTTCAATTAGAACCTTTTGGTTCTAATTCATTGTGTCAGCCAAAAATTGAAATAAGTGAAAATTTTAAGAGTGCAGTTATTCAATTTCAATTTAAATCAAAACTTCATTACAAAAAGTGTGTCTTTAAGGGATTAAAAACAACAAACAAGAAACAGAAAACATTGTCTCAATCTAAGTCACAAAGGTTGTTGGAAAACATAAAGATGTTTATTTGAGATGAATTATATTCAAACAATTAAGTAAAAATAATTTATTTAGTCACAAAAAAAATCTTAGTTGTTCACAGAGCTCTAGTCTTCCCGTTGCTCTGAAAATAGCATTTCTCAGCCATGCTGGAATCCATTTTGCTAGCACTATTATAAATTTTAATACATTTCTAACTTTCTGCTACCAAAAGAGTTAGGACTGCTCTTGCTTCTCAGAAATAATATGGCAGCAGAAAGGCATAATGCCAAAAAAAATAAATTCACTCACAAATATATATATTCCCACTCTTAAAAAGTTTAGTCCGTGAGACTGGTGTTCGGGGGGGGGGGGGGGGGGGACTTTTTTTTTTGTTTTTCTATTCTTGGTTTTTAATGAGTTCTAGAGATAATTACTGGATTTTTGCTTTGGTAGGCAATCAGTAATGCATTCTGTGCATGGCTTGTGGCACCCTGTAAGAAGTATGTAGATTTTTTTTAGTAACTACAGGAATTCACTGATGTTCCCTATGTATTTAGATAGCGTTATTTTTAACTGGGATTACCTTGTCAAAATGACAAGAAGGCACTGTTACTTCGTAACACTCAAAAAAGAAACAGTCAACCAAAAATTTGTAGCTATCGTCTCTCACAGCACTTGGGTTTATAACTGAAAAAGGTAGAATTTATATTTGAATCTCCTGCCACCTTTTACATTATTATATTAACAGCTGTATTGGGTTTCATATCTTAATGCTTTGAATAATTTTTCTCTTATGAGAATCATGGATATTCCTAATTTTTAGTACTTATAGATGATAAGATGTGGGTGATCAAAATATTGGTTATTTTTTCTTCATAATGAACTGTGTAAACTATTTTCTCTTAAAGTCTTCAAGGTATCTAACATAGTTTATAACAAATATTGGCTCAGTCACCATGAAACCAAAGACTTTATGCCCAATATGACCCGAGATGGCAAAGCTGCAGGAGTCAACTACAGATAGCACAACCAATCATGAATTCTTAAACTTCAAACTTATTGTAACAGGCTCAATATCCTGTTTATCAATAGAAATGTTCAGTTCTGTTGTGATCCTGCTG